AGAACAGATTCAACCCATTAATGCTCATTTTTCAATAGTGGGAATTAATAGGTTTTAGGTAAAGCTATAATACCATATTTGTATATTTAATCCCAGGTTATGGTTAGAGTAATTTGTAATAGCAAAATAATGTTTTTTAATGTATATCAAGTGCGTTATACAGATCACACCTGAACATACAGTTAGGTACACACCAACTTTAATATCAAGAGGGATATAAATTAAGTATTAGTTTAAAAGAGAAATAAAGCATAAAAGCAAACTGAATAATAAATTATTTTTGTTTACTTGCAATCAAATTTCTACTGGCATACTGTGATTTTGTTCTCTGATTGAAGTAATCATAAAAATGTTTTCTAGTTTTGTCATCTTTCTCTCTTTCCAAATCAGCTTTGATTCATAATTTCAATAAACCTCTCTTTCTGGTTTAACTACATTATTAGTTGTCTGCATCTTGATTAGAATTGTTTACATCCATTACTCATGCTCATGAAAAAAGCCTCAAAATCAAATCTTACTATACTAATTTATCACTACTCATCTTTGCCATCATCTAAGCAACTTGTAAACAGTCCAAAATCATCTTACCTGTTCAAGCAGTGGAAACAAAATGGCTGCTATATCCAAAGGAATGTCAGTAATATTAATTGTTGTTCAAACAAAATATTTCTGTAACATTGTACTATAGAATATAAAATATTCTCCTGGTTTGTTAAAAACAAGTTACATTGTCTGCAGATACCTAAAATGATATGATTTTTACTTTATATTTATCAGAAACATTCATCAATAAATGCAAAATAGACAAAAGAATTGTCTTTATAAATGGTGTCTGATTTTTTTTCTTAACTGACTTTACAAATTCAAAATGAGAATTAAATTTCTCTGCCTGTGATTTGTTCACATTATGAAAGGATACAATATTTGATCAGTTTAAATTTGTAATAAGCTCCATATTCCACAGCCAAATGAATGATTAAGGCCACCAAGCCTGTTGCAATGCCAGTCATCAGCATAACAAAATAACGGCTCAGCCAGGTTTTCCGAACTTCTTTCTGCAATGGTAAAGAATAAAAAAGGAGTAATTTAAAGTTATTGCTGTATCAATAACTTTTCTCAACATTCCCTCAAAAATACACAAATAAAAAATATTTTAGTAGTTAAGAAAGGATAAAAGCAGTCATCAAATTGATCAAATGACTTAGATGAGCCTCCAAGCAAAGGTTTTTTTTTTTTGCTTACAGAAACAGAAAGAGACATAAAAAATTAAAATCCAGTCCATGCACAGGATGTAGTTACATTTTGTGTTACTTATTGTCAGATGACATTTTCAGCAGCCCCTTGCATATGCAATAAACTAAAACTAGCACAAAAATGCACTTCATCAAAATGCCAAATTACATTTATCTTTTAGTTCACTTAACTTATTATGGTAAAATATCTTTGTAAATATGAATAACTATATTTTCATTGCAGCTAATTCTTACAGTTATCAGTTTATTTTAATTAAAAAAAGCTTTTTTTTTCTGTTACACAAACATACTTTTACAGTTAAATACCTCAATATTTTGAAGTTCATTAGTTATATTTTTAATCATTATATGCTATTGGCATGCTTTTAAAGTTTTGCAGGAAAACATGGTCAAAATAATGGGGCCATGGTTTGTATAGAGATTTAACCAATTCTTTTTGAGAAAGTGAAAGAGTGAAAAAATGATTTAGATGTTTTAAAAGTTATAAAACAAAAAAAACCCAAAAAACAAGAAAAAACACATTTACCTTGGACTTCGCCTCATTTTCAGCCATAGAAATTTCATTTTCCCAGGCATCATAATTTAAAGCCTGAAAAAAATAAACAAAGGAATTTTTTTTAAATAAAACTGGAATTTACTGTTAGTCTATGGATCCAAAATAATGTTGAAGTAAATTAAAACATTTTCAAGCAAGTCCATTATGAGTTTTTGAAAGTATATATTTAAGAAAGCAAATTAAAAAAAGTCAAGGCGATCTGTAAACAGAAAAAAATCAACCAATCAATTAATCTATTTTGGAAAAAATATAACTAAAGAAATAATTTCATATATACATATATGAAGCTGGCATGGATGCTTTCATCTCTTCTTGGAAATACCAGATGAAACCTCAATTTACTTCATGGTTCACACCAACATGCTCACCTGCTACAGCATACAGGAACCACCATTTTCAGCTATACTAGCATGACAGTCCTCGTCACAACAGGCACCTATTTATTGCTGCTTATAATAAATGTAAATGAGTCCTCAAAGGAACTAAATCTCTGTTTGCCAAGAGAATGAGGCACTGCATAGCCTCTGACAACTTTGGCTTTTGCGATTGCTGCCAGCTCTGTAATAGGGTATTAAATAAGTGTAAGGTCTCTATTCCTCCCCTTTTCAATCAATTTGAGGTATTAATATCTTCTGAATTAAAGCTGAATGCTTTACCCATAAATTTTCCTTAAACTCTACTCTTGACTCATCTGGTGTATTCCTGCCTAACTTCCCACTTATAACTGAGCCTCTATTGAGTGATATGCATACAACCCTTTCAATGATTTCTGCTAGATCCCCACAAAGCATGTGGAACCAATGATATCCCTGTAATAATTAAGAAGTGTGCTCCTGAAATAGCTCCTGTTCTCCCTAAACTATATAATAAATGCCTCACTGCCTCCTGCTTTCCTGCCTGCTGGAAGTCATCATCTGTTGTTCCAGTTTTTAAGAATTCTGGTGAACTGTCTAACCTTTCCAGTTATCAGCCTATTAGGTTTCTACCACTTTTTGGGAAACTCCTAGAGGCCCTAATCAATATTGAATTGGTTCATCATCTCTCATCACAGGGCCTTTTTTCAAACAAGCAATAAGGTTTTTGTTTCTTCAGGTCAACTGCTAATGTACTGATGATAATTGCAGAAACAGTCTATTGTACTCTAGATAAAAAAAACAGTGAAGTCTGGGCTGTAGTATTGGACATCTCAAAAGTCTTTGACAGGGCTTGGCATGTAGATATTCTCCACAAGCTGTCTCAAAACATATTTTTGAACTGACCCAGTCTTTCCTATCAAATTGGGAAATGAAAGTTATCCTGAGTGGCCACTCATCTAGATCCTTTTGTATTAACATGAGTGTCCCCCAGGGCTTTATCCTTGGACCTACTCTGTTTTTAATTTTCATTATTGACCTTCCCAATGACATCAGCTCTCAACTTGGCATCTACGCTAATGAAAAAAAACATCTACTCCTGCCCTGATAATAAGGCTGATCAATCCAACAAGGTCAAAATGGCAGCTGATGTCCAAAATGACCTCAAATCCATCATGGTCAGACATGTGTATTAAAACCATAGATAATTCTATGTGTATGTAGGTTTGCAAAGATTCTTTTATGTCTAAGTGGGCATTGGATGGTAATGCATATTTGTAATTGTGTATATGTGTTTGTCTAGTGAGAGTTATATCTTCACCTTTCTACAGTTAAGCCATGCAGTGGGGTGGGGAGTGTCACTAGGACAGCCTCCAGAAACCAATGGTTAACCCTATCAAAAGCCTTGGACTGATTTAAATTGATCAGCATGGCATCACTGCTGACTTGCTTGATGATCAAGCATACCAAATGAAGGTTGTTTTGAATAGTCCTGCCCTTCACATCACAAGTCTATTCAGGACCAATCAGACTAGGAAGGACAGCCTGCAAACGGCCAGCTAAGATCTTGGCTAAAATTTTCAACTCTGTGTTTAACATCATTAAAGGTTGATAATTAACTATCCCATCACCAGTTTTTATTCTTGTGAAGCAACTTAATCACACCCCTGATGAGGTATTGAGTTATAGACCTCTGTATCATCCAGTTGTTGTAAATTGGTATCAGCAAGGGGACAAAGACAGGCGACTGCCTCAAGTACATTTCGTAAGGAACATCTAATCCAGGCCAACCTGCTTCAGCACATCCAAAATCTCAGACTCTGTAATGGGACACTTGCACCTAGCTACTTCAGCTGCCTCAAGGCAGGGAGAGTTGGTTAAATAGGCATCAAACTGAACAGGGCTCAGACCAGTCTCCTTGGTAAACAGCTCCTGAAAGTAATCTCAGAAAGCCTCACATATGCCTGCATTTGTAGTCACAGTCCACTTGTCTGGCAATGTGATGCTTGCAACATGTTGACTGAATGCCTTTTGAGCTTCCTCTGCATGCAATTCAGAGGCCATGTTCATGGCCTAGGAAGACATTCTCTTTAACCTAGCTCTAAATACTAGAGATTGATGCTTCTTGATAAGGATGCACCGCTATTCCTGCTAGATTGAGTCGGTGACTAAAATCAGCAATAAAAGACTTAAGTTTAGATTTTAAATAATCCCTACCCCAGCCCCTGTCAATTCCTACTGTAACATTAGTAGTAACTCATCCTCATCCTGGAAATCTTGCTCACCAGATAATGATGCATTCAATTTTCAGAAACCAGCCATCTTAACCTTAGGCTTCTCTAAGTTTACATGAACCCAGACAAGCCTATGATCCAAGTAAACTATATCATAGAAAATTGGACATCCTAAAAGCCCTACATTGACTCTTTTAACTAGGACTCAGTCAATGTAGCTACAACTCACCACCAAATCTGAGCTGCTGCTCTTAATCGAAGTTCATACTACCTGTACTCATTTTGATACTTATCAACAAGATCAAACCTGTTGATAAAGTACCAAAATGACTTAACATCCAGGTTGTTAGTACCAAATCTTTCAGCTATACGATCTATATCAGAATCAAGGATGGCATTCCAATCACCTGCTAGAACTACCAAATGTGACATCATCAAAAAGGACTTGCTCTGCCAAAACAAATCAGGCTGCTCCACATGATCATTGGGCACATAAACCCCAATGAAACAAAGAGCCTTATCCTTTATGGTAATATCCAGTATGCAAAGCCTGTCTGTTGGATCTGCAAAGACAAGAGCACATGCTGCATCCACAGACTTGCTCAACAGCCAGGAAACACCTCTCAAGCATCCATCAAAACATGCTGAATAGTTGAAAACCAGGTCTCCTGTAAACAGAATACATCCACCCTGAGATGTTGAAGATCATGAGTGAGCCTCACCCTATGAGATGCTGACCTCAGGCCCCAGGCATTCAAACTTGCTAACCAGAGAGACATTATCAGTCTAATTAGGGTTGGGAAACTGGCTTGATCGGGGAAAGGATACCAACAGCCTCCCCCATTGACCCTTGGTCCATCTTATTCTTGATAGTGCCATTCTGGGAGAGACCATCAATATCTCAAGGAAAAATTAGTTTTAGTGCCCTATAGGGCACTAAAACTAACTAACTAGGGAGGGGTGAACAAAAACTGGGACCCTCCACGAACAGAATTGTTTTAACTTCGTTGTCAAAAATGGTGATGGGTGGGGACAACATATTAAATGATTTTATGGCTTCCTCGATCATACTCCACAACTGCTGCAGTTCAAATGATGGTCAGAACACACTGTGATACAGGGAAGTTAGTTGGTACTTCAACATCTTTGTTGGCATATTGCTTTATGGACAATAGGTACCTCAGTTCTTTTATTCTGTTGTCATAACTTTTGGCTCTTTCAGCCTGGGCTGGGGAAATGCAACAGATATTCTCCCCAAGGTTGTATGGCAGTTTGTTTTACTTTTTACTTCTGTCCATTGCCTCTGATGATAGACTTCTCTGAAATTTTGAAGGTGGGAGCATTTCATGATGTTTTTGTGGGAAAAGGACTGGGAGTAGGACATGGGGAGTGTGATGTAATTTTCCTGAAGGGGATGGGATCTTGAGTGTGATAATTTTACAAGGGGATGAATGGGTGGATGATGGTTTCGTCATTAATTTTGAAACAGGGGAAGACAGGGTAGAAGTCAAGGAGGCCTTTGTAGGAATAGATGTTTTCTTATTGGCTTCAAGTTTGACGTTGAATTTCTTAATGTTTTCTTAATTGTATTCAGTTCCTCCAAGTAAGTATTCACTTTAGGGGCTGGGGTGCCACCCTTAATGCTGGTAGAGGGAGTGGGTCTCTTAGTGCCTTTTGTCCAAGAGGCTTCAGAAGACTGAGGTCCCACTGTCTGGTGCTTCTCTCTGGCTCTACCAGCAACCAGCTATTTCCCTTCACCCTTCTCCATTCCAGAAAAATGTTCCCTGAGGAGAAATTTCAAAAATTTAAATAATGCCTAATGGTTAAATCCACTTTGACAAGAAGGGAAATAAGCTACTGCCACTGCTTAGAAAACATTCATTAAGCTGAGGAATAGGAGTCTAATTTGTTAGCCAAGTTCAATCCTAGGCAGGACCACAAGTGTCAGCATAGTTAACAGTTAGCATGATGATGGTTGACTAAAAAGTGGAATTATATGCAGAAAGAACACCATTCTCTCTGGAATGAGAGTAATGTGATTGACTTTTTGTATTATCCTGTCTAAGATGAATCAAAGCCACAAGTCCAGCAAGCAATCAAAATGACAGTAGAATATTGCTTGCAGATCAGGTTATAACCAGAACAAGACCAACAATAACACTTTACACTGGAGACAATTCTCCTGAAATTAGGAGAAATTAAAAAATAAATAAATAAAATACTGAATATTAAGAAAAAAAAAAGCACCTAAAAACCTTATAGAAAAGTAGATAGTAGCATATAACAGTAAGCATTGTACCTCACATTGGCAATCATTGCTCTATATATTTTATAAATTTATGTGAAAAGTATATAAAATAAAAAAACACAGTGCTAATTTCAGGGACTTCCTAAAGGTATTCAAATGCAGAAAAAAGAATGTGGCACATTTTCTATAAAATGTTTG